GACAAGGGGAATCGTTGGGAAGAGCCACATCATGATCGGATCCATTTGTCAACAGTCGAGCTTGATGGAATTCGAGTCGGTGAGTGCGAATGCGTTCACCGCTGAAAACAAGACGGTCATCAAGGAAAACCGAGGATAACATAATGATGCGTATTGTCTGACAAGAGCTTAAGACGGACCATTGGATGAGGAAACCATATGATTAGTGGAACGGGTGCTAGCAGGTAGAGTGATGGTTAATCCCCGAGCCTGAGTGTCAAATGGAGCATACGAGCGGTCTTCACTTCCCCCCGCAATTAGCATCAGCGAGCGGATATCAGCATTAGTCATCGAGTCTTCGACTTCCATTTCCTCAGGTTCAGTAGCACTTGGGGTGTCAACCTCCATATCGTCTACATTTTTGTTAGTTGAGTAGGAAGTGGTTGAGCTTGAGAGTCATCATCGTCTTCCATGAGTGGCGCATAATTATCGCCACCATCACGGATCAGCATAACAGTACAATGCGATGGAGGAGGGCGTTTGTCAAGCTGAATCGTCCACGTGGTCACAATGCGCTAGTCACCAATGTCCCAGACACGGAAACTTTCGTCATGTCGGAGTAGCCGGAGAAGGTGCATCGATGTGCCTTCGAATCCCATTTTGACCGCTTTGAATTGTCAATCTTGATGAATCCAGGAGATCAAAATACCTTGAGATGTTCTAACGATGGTCGCTTGCCTGTCAACACTTCGAGAGGACTCACGTCAGGGCGAGCTGTGTTCGGAATACAATTGATGATATAAGTGGCAGTTATTTGTCACTGCGAATACAGTGAGTTCTTACGCCGTGCTGGTTTGCAATCAGGTTCTTGAACTCAACAAATTTGTCGAACACTTGACATTTGCTCTTGAGTAGGTACACACTGACGTATCGACAAAAGCCATCAATGAGCGTCACCATATACTGAGATCCACCACGTTTCATGTTCTTGATGACGCGCGAAATAAAAACTTCACCTTTTAAATCACCAATCGACGGATCACAAACGACAAGAAGCGAAGTGAATCTGATTGACAGCGGGATCATACTTCACTCATAACGTTGCTGTGGACGAGTTCGAACAGTGAATTCGATTTCACCTCACTACCAGATTGGCGAGCAAACGACGAGGTCGCCATTTTGCCTCGAGCGCAGCCGTCACATACAGTAGCGACATCATCATTGT